AAAAATGTTACTACTGTGGCCTAAGCCTACTCTTCTACCCCTAATTGCGTCCTACACATAAATATATATTGTATAACATTTATATACTATTATAATATAATAGTACAGTACGTATATGTTATGTACTTGTATCTTATGCATATAAGTATGGCAAAACACAGGCAAATTAAAGTCCATTAGTCCAACAGCCTGAATACAAAGCACAAGTATCATTAGTAATTTTATGATTAGATCTTGTTTATAAATTGCGAATATTGCAAGAAATCATTATTTACATATACATTGCCACAATAATGGTTACTTTTTTTTTATTTTTTATTTTTTATTTTTAAAAGGTATATACAATCTGTTCCTTTAGGGACAATAAGAATATGCGAAATTAGAAGAAAATATATTTACATGAAAAACGTGATGGGAGGAGTCACCCAGTAGTTACACTACCCTTACTTGAAAATTTTTTAATTTTTTTGTAAATGGCTACTTTAATTACTCATTGAGAAGATCTTTATACCATTTCCTTCTGAGGCTCCTGGGAGGGTTCCCAAGAACTGTGAAGGTGGCAAGGTTTGAAATGAGGGGGTTGGTATGAGAAGGGAGTTTTGAGTGGAAACGTTTGTAAAAGGTTACTGCTTCTTCGTGGACTGTTTTAATTTTTAGACTGGTGTGTAAAGTTAGATTTGAAATATAAGGAGGAGAATTTGTGATTTTACGAAGGATGTTATTTTGAAGATTTGTATTTTGTTAGTGTTGGATTTTTTAGCATTGCCCCAGAGTTTAAGACCATAGGTCCACATAGGCTTAAACAAAGATTTATAAATTAAGAGTTTAGTGTTTAATGGAGTGTGTTTGTTTTTGGTAATTAGAGTTTTGAGGATGCGGAGTCGTGCATTTAAGGCAAGCCTTTTAATTTTAATATGATGTGACCATGTGAGTCGGCGGTCAATTGTCAGACTTAAGTATTTAGCCGATTGAGAGGAAAGGATTTGAATATTGTCTAGAGATACCATAGGACAAGGAGGAAGACGAAGAGTGAAAGTTGTATGAAGCGATTTAGATTGGTTAACTTTGATACACCATTTTTTATACCAATCAGCCATGAGGTTGAGGTGGAATTGAAGATTGAGGGAAGCTATGTGAGGATTATCATGGATAGAAATAATAGCCTTGTCATCGGCAAACTCTGCAACAGTTGTGTACGTAGAGGTGGGTTGATCGGCGCGTATATGTTGTATTATAGAGCAGAAAGGATGCCCCAATGTGGAACACCTGCACTAATCTTTGCTAAGCCGGAAAAGGATGTGCTAACTCTGACCTGAAAGTAACGATCCGTGAGGTAGGATTTGATTAATAAGTAGTAAGTTGGATGAAATATTGGCTTTATTTTATATAGTAGTCCCTCATGCTATACCCTATCAAACGCTTGGGATATATCCAAGAAGACGCAGGAGCAATAACTTTTTTTTTCAAGGGAGAATGAGATAGCATCGACTAATTTGTGCAGTTGATGTATTGAGGAATGAGCGGAACGAAAACCAAATTGAGTATTTGGTAATATGGAACTGGTAGAAATATATGGAAGGATTCTTTTAAGAATTAATCTTTCTAAAGTTTTGCTGAAGAAGGGGAAGAGATTTATTGGTCGGTAGGAGGAGGATATGTCAGGAGGCTTATTAGGTTTTAGAACTAGAATTGTTACAGAGAATTTCCAAAGCATGGGAAAATATGACAATCTAATAATGGTTATCTAATATATTTTATATAATAGTCACATATTTTGAATATGGGTGGGGGGGGCGTGTCATTGTGTCAATATCAGATAAATAACTCGATAAACCGATCACCACTTTTCGTTAAAAATCATTGAGTATAAAACAATATTATTTAATTGTTTTTGAATAAAAGTCAAATTTTATTGAAAGCAAAAAATTCTTTAAATAAAATATACCATTATAACTTCAAATGTATATTAATATTAAAATGTTAAATATCAAATGGAATTTTCGTTAGATGGCGTATAAATTGGTACGTCTAGATGGCAATTATATTATTATACTATTATTATATAACTAGCTCTGATGATCTATACGTAAAATATACCTAATATTATATTATATAAGGGATAAAGAATATAGAATAGGTATAAGGAATAAATATATATAGTTGATGTAAACGGTTCACGTGTTATTTTGTACTTTTACAGATTTCCAAACGTTAATTGAAAACGGTGTTTGCACAAAGACCTTTGAAGTTTAAAGGGAATGATGTATTATATAATATATTACTGATCATTTCATATACGCAATAGCAAGCAAACGATATTACACAATTCTTATCGTGCTCAATGGCCAGTGCAATATTAGATATTGTTAAAATGAATTCAGTAATATTATTTTAAAAAGTAAACGAAATTTATTCAAAAATATTTTCTAATAATTTACTGATCAAAAATAAATAATAATTATTATTTAGTTTCGTTTTTGTCTTTCAAGGTATTTGCTAATAAAATATTTTAATATTTAGTAAAGTACTGCAGGTAATCATATTATACTAATAGTTTGTATGTATTAACAGTACTCATAATATAATAAATACAAAAATAAAACTATTTAATACATTTTACACATAGCAGTATAGCACGTTTACAATAATTATAATAATTAACAACTATACTTTATAGTTCATAGCAATAGTAGACAAAATAAAGTATAAACATTATTTGATAAATCGTGTTACTAATGTTACAATATTTTCCATTACAGATATTATAATGTGTCGACTGTTTTCTAGAAAACTTTAGTCGAACACTTAGAAATTATTTTATTTTGTATATTAACTTAAATACTTGTAAATTAAAAACCTAATATAATTAATTTATTATTATTTGATATGCGTAGTTACATATAATAATCTAATTATTGTTCTAATAAATTAGTCAATAGTATTCGCAGGATTTTATGATTTGTTGGAAATTTATTATACCAGCTCGACTGACAGTTGAACGACAAGTTGATTGTTATGAATAATTAAAAAAATAAAATAATTATAGCTCAAAGTAATTCAAGTACTATTGATACCTTAGGAATTTAAATACATTCTAGTGATAGTAAAAATAATACTTTTCATTGAAATACTTACAAGAGTATATTTTTCTTTTTTGATAAAACACTAAATAGTTACTAGAATTTCGAAACACCACCAAGAGGTTGTTGAAAATGACTGAAAACTTGCAACAAATGATGAAGGTTGTTTGAGGTAAAGCTTCATACGCCCGCTTGTATTTTTCCTAATTAATCATCGTCAACCTGCTATACAAATTACAAACACATGCTATCCAAAGCTTTATGTAAAGCTGTGTATAATTTACTACTATAAAATAATTTTATTTTACAGAGTTTTATATTATACTAAACATGTTGTTTGCTGAAATAATTTGAAATTTATAATAAAAATAATAACTGTTTAGAAAAATGTAGAAATATTTGTGTAATTAGATCCTGGTATTGAGTGTATTTTAATTTTAAATAATAAATAATAATATTATAGCTACAAACAAATGTAAATGTTAATTTAATAAACTAATAGGAAATGTATGAAGAAATCGAAAGATTTGTTTGATATCCAAATTTAAATATCATACACATGCAATGGAATACACAATAATTTGTTAATGGAGTATAATCCATTATTTAATTATTACTTTTTTTATTTAATCTTCACGTGAAAGTAGAGTTCACTTCATTAACAAATAGTTTAAACTTATAAACGTTATCTATAATATAGGAAAAATACTACAGCAAATGTATATGAAATATAAATGAGAACGTATTTAGTAGGTATTTATTAACAACTACTATTTATTAATATTTTAGTATTAAAATGAAGTTTTGTTTGATTATTAAGTACTTACTCGCCCAAAAAATAATAATTGCTAAAAGTATCAATGATAATTTATAACACTTGTATCTGTTAATACTTCATTCCAGAACTTAAATAAATATTAGAATGTTAATTATATTAAGTGAACATAGTAAATTTCAGAAATAATTATTTTGAGTTAGATACTAATAATTCTATTTTATCATTTTGAACATAAGAATGATTCTTACGTAGAATTTGTTTTTGATATTTAAATTTAAAAATAAGTTATGATCATTTTAAAATTGTGATTGTCTATTAATTTATTATATAATATTATTTAATAAATAATTTAAGAAAATTTATTGCATTCAATTTCAATGGTATGAAAATATTTTTATTGTGAGAAAATCTCCTTCCACCTTGAAACATCCCCTAGGACACATTTGCGTATATATAGGAAATTCAAATCATTTATAATTTTTAGATCATAATATTTAGTTATAATAGAATAATTAGGTAACCTTGTTTACTCTAATGTTAGAACAATTCTATATTTTATAAAAATTTAGCATGAAATTCGTTAAATCGGTTCAAGACTACACAAAGTAATTTTAATATTATTGATATTTTATGTAAAATACGATAGGACATATTTGATCTTATGAAATAAAATAAGATTTTGTGTTACAGAAGTATTACAGTTTACAAAAAGGTACCTATCAGGAAAAAATAAACTTTCAAAAATTTTATGATATTGAAACAACATTTCTTGTCAACCAGATGGGAGATAGGAACTTACATGGTTTCTACCAAAATTGTTTTGACTTAAATCAGAAAATTAAAAATAATTTAAAATCTCAATTAATGGTTAAACAATTTATATGTTTTCAATTTTTTTATTATTGAGGCCTTATAGAAACATTAATATTTCTTATGAAAAACATAAACTAAAAATAATTTTTTCTTTTCTTAAATTGGCTAAATAAATTTAATAATATTTAACTCTACATGCATAAATTGTAAAAAACATCACATTGTTACGAAATTCTGTTTTTAATTATCATACATTTAAATATTAATCTATAAATTTATCTATATAAATCTATGATAATTATAAATAATTAAATGTATTTTGTTGTTACTTACTTAATTAAATATTGTATATAAAGGTAATAGATACCTTTTTTAATCATTTATTGTTTTTCTTACTCGATACAAGGCACTAATTTTCTATAACTATTTTTTGGACGGCTTAGTTTCTATAGCCCTATTTCATCCATTTAATATAAAAAATACGTTTTTAATATTGCACTCTAGTATACGATTTTGATGATAGATGAATGACAACAATAAAAATATATATCTGTTTGAATAATAAAAAAAAACTGATAAACAACAATAAGTTCCCAAAAAAATTTTTTGTTCACATTCCGTCGTATAGTAGTTTTTCGGACTTAGAAAGTTGTCATCTGGTGTTTAATTTTTGTACGTACGCTTGTAACGAGACACATCGCATTTCGTAAAAGTACTGAAAATGGTAACGTCGTTTAATATCCTTGAGTTTTTGGACTGTTCGTTTGCCATCGTCTATAGTCTGTTCAGAAAAAAAAAATAATGCGTTCAATTTTTAGAACAGGTACTTATTCATAACAGACAATAGTTATTGAAATTAGGTATACTAAGATGAGATTCACAAATTAACATTATAATATTATTTTGTATCTGCTATTCTAGATATTCTTTTCGATATATATGTTTCACTTTTTTATAAACGATGCATAATAATTATTGAAATTTAAAAAGATTAAATTATATTTATTAACTGTTCTCTGTTAGGTGTTGATCACTATACTTTTTTTGTCAATTATTTTTCATTATCTAAAATAAAAATCATTAGAAAAGAATAAAAAATCTAAACTAGAATAAAATAGTAGAAATAAAAACAAAATAATGTACATAAATTATAAGCCCACACAATGATTAAATGTGTTTAAACCCACGCATAAATGCATAATTTAGATTAAAATATAATTTACGAATAGTCATTAAATATAATATATTATGCACTAACATTTTAAAACTTTGATTTGTTTTTGTTAATAAAAAGTGGGAATGATCTATACTTCATATATTAATTTTATTATTAGGTATTCAAATGGTGATCATATGTAAAATCTAAGAAATTGTTCAATATTATATTGTCTAAAACTAGATACATGTATGATATTAAATCTTTATACATCATACAAAAACTAAAAACAAAATAGTTTAATTCCAAAACAGTTAAGTGAATAAGAACTAAAAAAAAAAAAAAATCATAAACTGATAGTTTCAAAAAATAAATGCGTAAAGAAATACATCAAACTATTTGTTGTCTATATAATATTGTACTCACAGTGACAAAATACTCTAAAGTTAATAGTTTGTCAGTAGTGAATAATCGCAGATTAAGATCTTGTTTTTATCTAGTAATAAATTACTAGTCAATTCGAGGGAACTGCAATAATAAGTGTTTGGGAAGTTGTAGTTCTATACAATAATGTATATACTAAAAAAGCACTAAAATATAAATAAAATAGAATGAATAAAAAAACAATAAAAAGCAAAATTAAAATTCATATAATATACTATTTTTTTTTTAAAGGTACAATTTAATATAAATACAAAATTAGGCTGAAAAAGTTATTGTTGTTTTTTTTTTTTTTTAACTTGATAGGAATAATAATTTTACATTAAAAACCTTCTAGTACAAAGTACAAACTAAAAATTATTAAAAATAAAATGTATGCATGAAAATTAAAATTTCATTGAATAATTAATAAAATTATACTTACTTCAATGTGTCTTATCTGTTCAGCAGTCAGTTCGTAAACTCCATATACATATAAGTGATCACGTCGATTATTCTGGTCCATATTTTCAACAATGTAAATCAGAGATTGACAGTAGTCGTCGACGAAACCCAAAACTTTCCGACAGACGATCGTCAGCAATTGTTTTGTGTACCACATCATGTTGTCGTCGTCTTCAGCTTCTTGGCAATCTGTCAATAATAATAAAAGTAATTATAATAGCAATGATAATATAATATTCACTAATCTTACAAATTCCATACGTAGGTACAATACCATTATATTATGTATACATTATGACAATTACAAAATCTCAAATTGCAGTATTTCAATATTTGTTCAAAATACATATTTTATTTCAATTAATTTTAAATTAAAAAAAGAACTATACTGTTAGCATTGAATAAATAATTGGTCAATGGACGATATAATAGTGCTGTGTCACTTTGAAAATTTCAGACTGAAAGTACTGATCTTACATCATCAGAATTAACACTAAATATAAATATAGGTAACATAATAATAATTTGATACATTTTTTTTTTAATTCGTAAATTAATTACACTTTTTTACTTAAATAAATTAATTTATAAGATTTTGAATAATATCAAAAACTAGGGACGCTACTTTTTAAATATGCAATAATATCTTAAAATTTAATAAAAACGTGTAAACAAGAATTAAATTTACAATTTTCGTCAATTGTTAAGTCATGGTACATTCATAAATATAGTTTTTAATCGTCAATAGTAATAACATAATATTCATTTGAAATTGATAGTTTCTAGTTTTCATTTTTTATCTAAAGATATTATTTATATAATTGTAAAATTATATTCAACCGATTTTACTTAATTTTTGCGATACTTATAACACTACTTTTTATTACGAGATCTCACACGAATAAAACTTTGAGAATATATTTTTTACTGCGAGATTCTGAAAAAGTGTAAACGTTGTGTTAATTGTCAATGATGTTTTATCAACGTATCACCACCACCAACTAGTATTGTGATATTTGTTAATAATTTATGAATAATTAAAAATGATCATATAAATATTCAGTTTATAAGCTTCTGCATCGACGTGTTCATTTTAGTTTAATATTGAAGCTTGAGGAATAGAAAAATCAAAAATTAATTATAAATCATGATTAATGGTTCAACTCAATAAATAATAGCCTCATATTCAACTGTAATTAATCATCATTTATCACAAAAAAGTCAAAAGCGTTTCATGTGTATAGCTTTGAAAGTCGATTAAATAAGTAAAGTGCTTAAACGCATTGTGAAATTACTTAGATTAAAAAGTATAAGAGCGTATTGTTTAATAGTGTGTGCCTATTTTATCATCAAGTTTTATTTCGAAATAAACTTTATACTTAAACAGTAAAAACACGTGTTTAAAATAAACGTTTACTTTGTGTTTCAGTTTATATATTAACAAAAGAAAAATAAAAATTTAAAAAAAAGTAATTTTAAAATTGTTATAACTAAATTAAAATATCATACTAAAAAAAATTTATAAGTACTTAATTATTTTTTTCTTATATAAATCAGAATACAAAAGACCCATTTTTTTTATAAATTTATTTTACGTTTGAATCGTTTATTAATTAATATATATTAAGGGTGTGTATTTTATCTTATATTCCAGTATAATTATTAATCAACAAAATATGTCATATTTGACTATAAGTATATTTCAAAAATATAGTAAATAAATTCGAATTTATGTTAAAACAAATAATATAGTTTCATTTTTATATTTAAAATAATAATAAAGGGAAATAATATTTATTATAATTTTAAATTTGTAATACTTCTTCACATTAATAAAAACGTTGTCATTTTGCCATTTAATATGAAGCATTTATTTTTTATACATATTATATTTATTCTTTGAAGGTTTTTTCATAATGTTGACTCCTCTCTAATGACCCGTAAGTGGTAAAATAGATTAATAAATCAATAGTTATTCCAATATTTGAATCCGATGACAAATAGTTAAGGACGTCATAATAATAGTCAATATTTTACAGGACCTGCGTTCTGTTGCATTAATAATATCGATTACATACTGCAACTCGGACATTTTGTACTAATTACTATGATTTTGTATCTCACATGATGTACATGATGATATCATTAATCATTATAATTCAGTGGTTATCGTCATAGTAATAGCCAACTAATTATTAAAGGTTACTTACACCTATTATATTAATAAAAATTTACTTAAAAAATATTTTTAAGTTTATGCGAAGACATTAAAAATCTAATTCGAGGAATCGTCACTTTAAAAAATTTGAGAATTATTGCCAAATATACGACTCGGATACGTCTACTCCAGCGTATTGAGTCATGTATATATTTAAATTTTTATGGTTCGTTAATAAAAATAAAAATGACATTTAGCAAATCAAACATAATGTACACGGTTAAAATAAATAATAAAAGAATACAAATACGTAATTGTAACTCTTTTGCAGAATAATATGTACAAAAATAATATTACAAAAATATTTTAAATAGCTGTATTGAGTATACATATATTATAATTATAAGGGCAGCTGATATCCACGTAATGTGTATTCGTTCAGAACTGGTGCAGCGGTAAAAAAATCAAAACGCATATTCAAATGCAGCAGACGAAAAACGATGTGCTTCTTACCCGACAAGACGGAGTGCAACGTGTCTACCGGCCACTTGGCCACACCGTATTTGACGTACAGCACTTCGTAAGCGATCAAACGGCAGTATCGCTGCCCGTCGCAGTGATTACACTGGAAGTGGCCGTGTTTGCAGTCGACGTCGTCTTCGCTCGAGGCCGCCGCCGTCCACCGCAGCGCTTCGGCCACCTTAGTCCTCTTGCTCTCTATGAAGCTGTACATTATTCCCCGACACGCGTCCAACCTGCAGCCGTTGATCGTCTCATCAGCCCGCCGTTTCATCAGCTCCGCCATAGTTGTATCGCCCGCCGCGCCTGCGCACACTATAAAATGTATAAACATACACGTGATGCGTTATTATTAGGTCTTACGATTTTGTTCTTGAACATAGAAAATTAGATTTTAGGATAATATCAATATTATATTATATATAGGTACAATATACAAACTGTGTCACCCGACTCCGTCGAAAAAGAAAATTAATAATTGTAAATAGCACAGACTTTATTTTAAAAATGAGTTAAGTAAAAGGTTCCGTATACCTATCCTACAAATTTTTTGTTTCTGGAAAAAGAAACCAAATAGATGGCGCCACGAGTTTAATCCTACTTCACCGTATAATTTTCCAGAGCAGAAATTTTTTCAGTCGTATATGTAGCTTATGCAGATTAGGGGATCGAGGTATGTATGTAAAGTTTTTCGAAATCAAGTAAGTAGTACAGAGATTACCAAGTCGGTCTTTCCTACGCAGATCTACTCATAGGAGTTTTGTATCAACAATATTTTTTCCAAATAAGAAAAATTCATGGAATTTACCAAACTTGGTTAAAATTCAAGGCATGTTAGATTTATGCTAGAATATATGAATACATAATAGTATTATACAATTATAAAAGTTATATAAAATTTAAAATATTAACAGATATCGTTCCATAAAATACTCAGAAATACTATATAAGTTTTTAAAATTACAAATGTGTGTAATTTCCGTCGTAGCATAATATCTTACAAGTAATTACAGTAAAAATTCACTATGCTGAAAAGCATTAATGATTTTTTTTATTTGAAGTCTTTATAAAATAAAATGTTTTAATATTTTTTGTTGATTTTGCATTAAACTTTTTTAAATGACAACATTTTTTTTTTAATTTTTGTATCCAAAGTTTGTCTTTTGTTTTTTTGAGCATTTGGATACATACAATTTATAAATCAAATTTCGAACAACTATTTAATTATAAGTTTCATTAATTGGAGTGGAATTCTTAAGTACTATACTATATGGGATATAACATAATCTATTATAACATTCAAGTCGGTTAAAGCTATGAATAATACTATAATAGACATATTACTAAATTGAACAGTCATTAATTTGTGGATATAAGAGACATTCAAATATTATTATTTAATTTTCTAAATTCAATTTATGTTATTATTTTAAAGCAATAGTATTTTAAAAGTATATCTATCTAAAAAATATACTTACAAAAACTGAAATACTTTAAATTCATTCAATGGTACTATATAACAACGGATCACTGTGATCATAGAAGATTGAATTAGAGCAGAAGTGGATCCAGAATATATTTAAGGGGAAGGGAGGACAACTTGTATAAAATTTCAGCTAAAGTCTGATAAAAATATGTGTAAATATCTACTATGTCAACTAAGAAGGAAATATTATTATTAAAATTTTACATTTAGATTAGTAAAATAATTAGTATAATTAAGTTAAATTAGTTTTACATGATATATAATTGTTAATAATAAAATATAAAAATTGTATTTATTAAATTAAAAATCAAAGAACAAATTTAACGAAATTGTTTCGTATTTTTGATTTTTCAAATAAAACAATCACACATTGACGTTGATGATCGATGGTCACAGCGACTGTATGAGATTGTATCGTATGTTAATTAAATTTCTATTTTTACCAAAAAATTTGTTTTAATTAATTATTTATTTAATATAAATAGTAGGATGAAATAGCCGATTCAAATACCTAGTCCTACTATAAATAAATACAATATTTTATTACTAACATAAAATGTTTGATAAGATTAACATTTGATGGCAACCGATAAAAATGGACTTTACTGAAATGCAATCGCTGTAAGATAATGCGTTTTAATATTTATCATGTATAGTTAAATTTTTAATTATCGGACACTCTCAGACCTCAGTTACTGAAATTTTATCTGCTTTAAATGAAAAAATAAACTATATATGTATATCCAAAAAAATGATACGCAAATGTATATTTATTATCTATATTCAATATTATTTGTTTTTATACCTACTTATATATTATTATTTATTATTTAAAACAAGGTCAGTTACCAAGTGAGACAGCCATTTTCTACGACGAATAAGATAAACTATAAAAGAATAATAATATGTAAAATTTTTACTGTAACAAAATATTCTTAAATAATAATCACAATATAAGTTATCAACATTTAACCATGAAAGTGTCTGTTACTTAGAGTATCCTGCATTTAAAAATAAGTATTCCCATTTTTGAAAAAATGTCATATATTTTCTATTTATAGAGGTGTCTGTTAAGGGAGATTTCACTAAATTCATTTTGCTACCGAAAACAGATATTCTAAAATTCGTCAGTCTATAATGTAAGACTATCGCTCCTTGCTCCCCTTATTTGGATCCGCGTCAAAAGTTAAACTAGTATAGTGTACCTAGTCATTCTGCTGTAATTGTAGTACTAACCATAAAAATAGATTAAATTACGACCTATCGGTTATCAAACATTTTAAGTCTCTATGGTTTTCATTTTTTAATCAAAATAAAACAATGAAATCGATTTTATCAAAAACTAACTTTAATTACAATCTATTTATTTCTCTTATTATTTTTTTTTTTTTTAAATGCTTTAGTCTAATTATTTTTTGTAAATTATCAGGGATTGGTTTACTTAGAAATTCGAATTCTATAAACAAAATTAAATTTGTTACTATAAACAGCCTCCAGAGTTAAAAATTATTTTTATTGTTTCTAAAGGTGACGTAAGACGTAAAAATTAAATTATAAAGTACACACATCGTTGCAAAATTATAAAATACATTTTTTTGTGTAAAATAAAAACTATAGAAAAAAAATGTGATTTGAATAACTTTTATTTAAATTTATAAAATATATGAATTTAATGTATATTATTCAATTAATTAATCGATCATTCAAACCTTTTTTTTCATTATTATAAAAAAATCCTCGAATCACTACCTAATTATAATAATAGTTACAAATACTCATAAATTAAGCACTTAAAATAATTTTACTTTCAACGTGAATTTACAGCAGTTCATTTTATAACTTTATTATACCACACTATGTATTAACTATTTAGGCGAGTACGATGGTAGGACGTGCAACTCCAGGGAACGTAATTAACGCAGAAGTTTTCAAATTATTCATTTAGATTTAATGTTTTATCAAATTAAAAACTTTGAAAACTTTTATAAGTTTTGGTTGAATTTCAACTCCATTAAAGAAATATATTACATACTTACCTATATTTTACAAATTATTTTCAAAATATCTAATATACTATGCGGAGATATCTAATATATAGGTATTGACTTTTTATAACCGTACGTAAATACAGATCAAAATATTTTAGTTTTGACAAAAAAAAATTATTAAAAATATGCCGGGTTTTAATGCTTATTTTTATTTTTACGTAAAAAAATTATTACAAAAGTAATTTGCAACCAAATATTTTTAATTATAATATAGACCGAGAAATCAACTGAGAAAATGCTAATAATGTTGCTAAACAATTTAGTTTTTTGAGTTTTTTCCTTAAAACGAATATATTATTTTCTCAGTATGATATGAATAAATCCTTTAATATTTGAAAACTTTAGAGCCTCAATTAGACTTTTCCAGCTGTTTTTATTTCCCTGACTCGAACGCCAACTCTATAAGCTCACTTTCACATAAAAATTATAAAACAAAAAACGGAGAACACTAGACTGTATCTTATTATACAAATCGATTTGAAAATTTAAAAGTTTATATAATAAATTATTATTACATAATGAAAACCATAAATGGGAATATCTCTCAGTTGTTTATTTGTTCATTTCGACTTACATTGTATTTTTAGAATATTTCAATTTTTTAACTACATCACAGAACAAAAACACTACACTAAATCATATTAACTGTGTGAATAACTTATACATACAATAAACTATAGTGGCTTCCTTATATACCATCTTCTAAGGAATCTAAATACTTAGATATTATACAGTATACATATCAGTACCTTTAGGATACATATTTGTACTTCGTAGAATATATACACTGTATACATCATACAGCAGTATTTACTAAACTACAAACGACAAAAAGATAAATTTTAAAGAAAAATGTTTTTCTTTTTTTTAATAATCTATGTAAATTGTTATGTTTTATAGTATAAATTATTTTAAATAGATATCACTTCATAAAATTATACTATATTATATATAATAAAAAAATTATAGTTTAAATACTATCGACTATTTTACTGTCAATTTTTAATAAATTAATAATTATATGAATAAATATTTAAAAATATGAAATATATACTATCAAAAACAAAAATTTAAAATACATCTCTGATCATTGTGTTAAAGATCGTTTAAGGTACAGATGTACAATATTATATGTTTTTTTTAAATTTTCAGTTTTCTAAGGAAATAAGTATATTTTTAAAATTTTAGTTCAGTAAAAATTACGAGAAATAATAATTGTTTATAAATGTAAAAAATTGTTTTTACCTGTAGCCATGAAATAATGATATTGCCTCATCCACACTTCTGCTACACTTGCAAACTTTTTATATGCAGCAATCCAATCCAATTGAATTGCATACATGAATCCTAACTCATGTAAACACATTGTTTTCATACTTATAAAAGAATTGTCAACTAAAACTGTTGATCCAATTTCGTACGCTTGTATCGATTGTTCTAAATCACCCTACGAGTATAAATTTACTGACACAGTCAAAATTTATTGAACATTTTATTAATTAAATAAAGTTATGCACAGTCATGAAAAATTAAAGCTAATGACCTCTGTATTAGTTTACATATTTTTACAAACCTTGAGATAAAGCGATCGCCCGATAAAGTACTGCAGAGTTGTTGAGTTTTGGAATTCTTCGGGCGGATTATTAATTAATTGTTCTGATTCCTTGACATAGATTTCATTTTCTCGAGACTGGGGACCGTCGAACAAGTAATCTGTGTTTCCCATCATGTAATACCATGACAGGATCAACCTAATAAATACTTAAAAATCATCTAGGCGCTTACAATTAAGCAGTAGAGACGTCTTCAGAATTTAGTACCACAATGTCTTCATTTATCATTATTCATTATAAAAACCAGAAAAATGAATTTTATTTTATATAGGTAATATAGGTAGTTTAATTAAATAGAAAAAATAAATTAAATTAATTAAAGTGGGTAAATTCTATTATTAAAGAATAATATCATAACAGCGTTCAGTATACCTACAAAAAGCAGAGCTTTCTAACTCTTTGTTACAAATTGGTGAATATAAATAACAAAATTAATAAAAAAAAAAAAAAATTATGATTAAATTATAAAATATTTTATGTGTAAGTATCTATGTAATATGCTCATATAAAAAGAGCCACCCGGGGTTATTGTCAACTCTAAGATCCTTTAAAAAGGTCTTTATAGTATTTTTAATACTTATATAGAACGAGGTTTTAAGTACGCTCAACTTATTGTGTGCTTAAATTTTAAGTTTATTTTTAAATTATAATTTTTTGGATTTTTTATTTAACTTAAAATAGTCTAAAACCTTTTCTAAAATATTGTTTACATTATTTAAGAACTTTTTTACATGCGACTATTTTACCAAGATTATATTTTGATTTTACAAACCACTATATATGTATAATAGAAAGCTATACGCATCACATTATATACAAAAACAATACATTTTAAACCTAGATATAGCATTGATTTTTAATTTTAAAAATCATCCTGTATGTACATTGTACATAAATTAAAATGCAATATTATTGAAATATCAATCTGTTATGCATAATATGTTTCATGTGTGTTATCTTAATGAGTTCTAGTATTGATTTTATAATAAATTATAAAATCAATAGTTATAGACCACTGTGATATATGTATTAAATTTGAAATTAATGATAAATGTATGAAATAAAATGATTCTAAGCGAAAGAAACGTCTATTATTCTATTATTTTCAAGGATATTATTTATTTTATATTTTATTCATATTTATTAATCTGATTTTAATTAGATAAGTGGAACTAATAGTAGGTTTCTTACTAAATTACAATAAAAAAAAATCCCATTTTGAATTACGTATATATTCTCATTTTACCCTGGTTTTTTTTAGTTTAGAAATTTTGAAGTGTAGTACTGGGATTATTCTACTTTTGATTCTCAAAGTATTATAAACTATATATCAAATTCAAATTAGTCACCATAAATTGTTATCAGTATTTAAGATTAAACTAAATTTTCTACTTCAAAAGTAAAAATAAAAAGTGTTTATACAAACACATATCCTGTATGTATGTTAAATATCTGCCCTGAGTACCTATCTAGTAATTTTTTAGTTAAAAATAAAAATGTTAACGTTATAATTACCATGCCAACGGTGCGTGTACGTCAGGTCCATTTTTGGCAAACGTTAAAGCGTCTAGACCGGTTTGGCGATTTCCACGAAAACCTAACATTCCAATTAGAGGGATCATCATTGGTGAAACTAATGATAAAATCAAATTAAAAGCACCGTATCCCACACTGACCGCTGCCATTAATCTAACTATGTCTTTAGACATACCATTTGCTACACTGTAAGAAAAACAACAATATTTAACTGAACTCAAACATATTATTATGATTAATTTAAAAATTAACTTTGTATCAAATTTAAAATCGTTGAGAAGAATTATTTTTTTTACGGTAATATAAGTTAGTTAAACAAATTAGTGATAATCACTGTAGTAAGTATTTAATATACCTACTGGTAAATAGTAATAAAAATTACAATATAAAGTAAAAGTACCTATTATACTATATAGTAGACTAAACAGGCGAGTTTTAGACATCATATTATACAGAATAGGTTTAGAAAATGATTCTTGTTTTCGTGAACTGCGAGCAATATATATTATTTTAAGAAATGTATGAAATTTTTAATTATTGAAGAAAACTACCTACACTGTTTAATATAATTTTGGCCCGGTTCACGATAATCACTGTTGAATAATATAAATAAATTATTGTACGTATACCCGTCTTGACGAATCGTTTCAAACGATGTGGTAGCCGAGCGATACATACGACTTCCTACGTTCGACGTCGAAGCCAACGAGGTGGCAGATGAAGATTGTCTGCGTTTCAAAACCGGCGGCCACCGCGGAGCGTTTTCGTCTGATGCACACAACAAAGTAAAAAAAAAAAATGCTCGTGAATGAGGTGTTCCCCAATGGGTATTACATAGGTATTAGGTATATAAGTCACGGTTATCAGCTATTAAAATTAAATAACCGTGGTATACGTATATCGAGTAAAAATCGTGGTTAACTTGCTGACCGGGGTCCAGTTCGTACAGGGTGCGGTAGACGTCCAGTATAGAGGCGTAACACTGCTGATACATTTTCCAGGCACGTCGCAGTGTGTAAACCGTTTTAGCGGTAGCCATATGACCGACGTTATATCCGTTCACTATCTTGACGACCATCAGTCCGACTATGCATAAGGTGACGTCAGCCAGCGCAATCTGTCCGTCGTAGTAGTCGACGCCCGTGGCGGTGACGGAAGAAAATTGTAGTTTTCGCCTGACCAACCCCAACCAACCACCATCGTCCAACATTGCGCCGCACCGCGCTTCAAATCGCTTGAACTCGGCCTGCGCGGATTCCAGTCGTGACTTTTCCGGCGCTTGGATAGCCGTCTACGGGAAACCCAGACACGTTAGAAGAAACGTAAACATCAACGCCCGCTAAGCAATATGAACGTTCCCCAGGTCATTTACTACATTATTTTATTAGTAAATTAATATTATCATGATACCTACATTAAAAGTATACCTGCAGATCATACATGTTTGGTCTTTTGAGGATTTTGTCTACTACTTTTTGAAAGTGTATTTAACGAATTTTTTTTCAGATTTAATTCTGTTTATCAATGAAATATACAAATTGCTTAAGATGAAATTATTTAAAATATTTAGATACTCGTTGACTAATTAAAACAATTACTTACTTACCAGGTTTCAATTATTATAAAATTTGGTCTTACTGTATGAAAAATATTTCTTTGAACTTGAATTAATTTTCCAATCGTGTATTATAATTTATTGTTATTAAAATAAAATCTTTCAATTAGATCCAAATAACGGAAAAAAAAAATGTATTGAATACAATTCAACTATAATTGAACTAAATCGCACATAAAATTAAAAAAAACCATTTGTTATATTAAATTTTATATTTTTAATGGTTATAAACTACAATGAATATCGTTTACTTTTATTTAAACTTTATTAGAATAGTTAATAATATATACGTATTATGATAGGACAGTTAAATATCGATTGTTTTACTATAAGGTAATTTACTAGTAGGTACTATAATATGATATGGAATTCAAAAACAAAAAATGTACAGGGAAAGAACGATTAGTTACATCATCAATTAATGATAAAAATAAAATACTCTACGAAGAAAAAATATAAAAGGTAAATAAATAGTAACTTCGAGAACATACTTATTAAAAAAGAAAAAAAAAATGTATCATAAAAATTACTGACCAGTAATAAAATGAAGCATTTGCCGCTTGCAATATGAAGGTCATTCTCTTGTCGGTTTAGTAAAGCTTCGGAATTGGCTAAGTTATTAACATTTTTTATCAACATCCACACTGCTTTTCTGCATATTCTCCAAGTAGGTTCATTGTTTGAGGACATACCAAATAACAGCAACCAAGTTCGTCTAAAATAACAAACATAACATAATGTTTTATATAGTAATTTGATGTGAAAGCCAAATAATACACATTTATCCGTTCATCTGTCAACGATTTAAACATAAAGCAAGTAGGTCTTATAATAACCCCTTACAATAATAAACATCATTTGTAACTTAGTATTGTTATTGATTGTCATGCAAATTTTAGTTTTATAAACTTATGGTACAATACAATATTATTTTATATTTATCATTTAATTATCAAACTACTATATTGATTTTAAATAATATTAAGCTTTTTTATGTTGGTTCAGTTGGTTGTAAATCATTTTTTAAAGGATATAGCCACATAGGCTACGTGCTACGTAGTATACACCAAAGGTTAGCATGGGTTAAAAACTGGTCAATCACAACACAATTTTTATCCGATCATTACCACCTTTCAAATGTTTACAACTTTTTTTTTTTTTTTTACCAAAGTATCTACAACTGACTCAATTCCTGTCCCCTGATAATTAAGTAGTGAAATAAGAATTCATTCATATCTCTTTGATTTTTATCGTAATGTACAATTTTCTTAAAATAAACAATTTACATTTCAGGCGATGTCGGTTAATACAACTAGTCTTTGTTTACAATGAGTGTAACGCTTAGAGAACACAGTATGACCCGAAAATTACACATCATATTTATATGACACGTGGCTAACAAACGTTGAATGTATTCATAATATTAAAATACTACGTAAAATATTGCTGTGTTTTGTAAGAATGTTATATTTTGCAATCATTTTTTATACATTTTCAATATAACAAACGAAGTAACATGATACTTACTACGATAAACTGTGATTTTTAATCAAAGGACACGTGTAAGTTGTTAAAATAAATCGTGCGTCAGCAGGATGTAAGGAAATAATATGGATTATTATAGTTACCTAGTGTTTGGGCGACCCCACATGTAGTACGTAAATACATTTTTTCAAAGATTTGATTCATTACGAAAATTAAAGACATTATGTATAGTTAATAATAAATTGCTATAATTATTACAGTATACAAGTAATTTATTGTAACAAAGGAACCAATAGGCTATAACAAAAGTCAAAAATCAAGTAAATAAAATGGTTTAAAAATAATCGAAAAAAATTGTTTTTAACAAAATTCAGGTAATCAAAAATACTAGGAACAGTTATTGGACGATTTACCCACCCACGACCCATAAGTTTACTGTATCTATGATTAATTATCTCTTTTTCCTATTTTGTTATAATATGTAAATTATATAGATTTTTAGGTAATTTATTTTAATAAAAAAATAATATCAAACAAAAAATATTATTTCAACTTTATTAAAAAAATTATACATTTTATTCAGATTTAATATTTATTATGTATAACTATAGTTTCTAAGTATGAGTTGATTGGTTATTTTATTCTTCATATAATAGGAGATATTATTTGTATTTCTAATCGCTAAATAAATAATATTAAATGATAAACTTAAAAAAATATAATATACTTTTATTACCTATAGGTGTAATACGCATAGGTATTTACTCATTGGTTTTAAATAATTGACTTATTTCGTGTAATATTTATTTTATTGAACTCAGGATAATATTAACCGAAATAAAAACTTCAAATATTCCACTATTAATTATACTTATAACTGTGTATACATAATGCAGTTTTAAACATTTTTAGACTAAATTTAAGCTATACTAAACCTAGAATTTATTATTCACATTATTTTACGATACGTTGGTTGTGATTTATATAAGCTTGTTATACTATACAATATTATCCAACCAATTGTACTAATAAAATACACTACATAATAATAATAGTAATAATATAAGTATAGTTTATATTAAACGGTAATGCAATTAATTGTTATTAATAATAGGTGCTAATTCATTCATCTCCTTTGCTTGGAATCATTTTTTGCACATATAGGTATAGTGATTTTTGTATAAATACAATTTTAATGTTTAAATTAAATTATCTAATGCATAACCACATATAACTTGTCTAATCAATGGTTCAAAGCTCAATGGCGAGACACCTATTCAAAACTTACTACCTTTATAATAAAGCTAGTTTTTATATTTATTCAATAAACATTATGTAAAATATTTTATCTAATAACTAAATGCTTTGTCAGTTGTCAGGAAATTAAATACTACTATATGTAGCAATTACCAATGTAACATATCTTAATTTATAAATATTGAATAGTTTTTGGTTGGTCATTTAGAGGTATAAGATGGTCTTAATAAGGTACAATTATAAAAAACTATCGTCTAAAAAGAGATCAATTAAATATTTTTAACTTTCGTATATTTTTTTGCATCATTTTAAAATTGGCTTTGCATTTACGGTCAATCAAATCGTTCAAATGAGAAGTGTTTGATTTAATGTCCCACATACTGAAATCGTTTCATTTTTCCTTTACTGCCTAATAAGTTATAGATACGTAATAAAATAAAATAAATTATTAATTATAATTGGTAGCTGGTAGATATTAATATACTTATATTTTAAAAATGGGGTAAGTAACCGGAATAATTTGCAATACCTTTACACCATTTCATAATGTGTATCTTTACAGAACTGCCAGTATCCACAATAAAACGAATACATAATTAACGAAATCAATAAACCTTTAAGGACAAATAAAGTACTTTAATCGATTATATTATAAACTATTTAACTATATTTTATTAATATGGCTTTAAGCACATTTTGCTAACATACAGACTACCGACCATTTTTATAGTTAATTAAAACAAAATATTATTTATTTATTTGTAATTTAAAGTGTAGTTCATGTAAATTTTTATAATTTAAAACAATAATGGAAATTCAAAAATGTGAATTTATTGTATCATATAAATACATAATGCTTATCGTATTATTTAGTATATCATCAAAGGTACATACTATACAAAGTCAATTAATCTTGGGTGACAAAGAAAAATAACTATAGTAGTATGGAAATACATAATACATTTTTTAATACATAGTTTCGTTATAATTTTCCATATATTATTATATCAGAAAATATTTGAGGGATGGAAATCTGAAGAGTAATTTTGGCAAAGTTTACAAAATCGAGTTATAGATTGATTTTTAAGGAAAAAATGTTGAGAATTGGGGTCATCAAAATTTATCAAAACGCACTGTTTTCCCGTTCCCAATCAAATTCGTATTTAAAATGACAGTTTAATTTAAAATGAACTTCTTATATGCATAAAAAAAAGTATTTAGAAAAATTAAAACGTTCTTTTGTAAATATTTAGTGTTAATAAAAACATGTGGTTGAGATGTAATAATTAATAACTATGAATGTAATTATTTTTTTTTTACATTGAACACGAAGTGTAGTACTATGCAGTACACACCAAGGGTCATCAAATTTTAAATTTGCTCGCGAACAAATTTTATCCGGCCCGCATTAAATAACATAATATTATACTACGAAAACATTATAAATGTTATTGTATTTGTAATCAATTTTAATTTTAATTTTTTTATTTATTTGTAATATTATTGAATAATTTTCTATCTTTATTGTATTTATAATAAAAAGTTAATTTTATGAATTTTTATTTAAAATATTTTAAAATATTTGTAATATTAACTATGTTCTTAATGTTTACAAACAATAGTAAATAATAAATAAAATAAAAAATAATGTTTTCATTACATCAAATTTTAAAATAATACTTAAGATATGTTAAAAATATGTAAATTCTTGATGTGGATTTTTAAAAATATTTATTGGTGACCCCTGGTATACACTATTATAAACAAACCTAAAGTTGTGTTAATTACCAACTTGCAGTCTGCAGAATATAATAGCTATGTATAATAAATAATAAAATATAATAATGCAGTATAATTAACTGCAAGGTAGTACTGAACACGTGTCTTGCAACTTGCATTTACTATAATGAACTTTAAGTTATAGATTTAAATAATTGCAACACTCGAGCTGTATTGTATCTATACATTTGATTCGGTAATTTATGAGTATAACAAAAAATATACTTATTAAACGTGTTTTTGTTAGTTACCGATATTATCAGTAGGTTTGTCATTAGTCATTACATAATAATTCAACGTAATCCATTAACTTATCCGGTGACTGCGAAATTAAATGTTAATTCTTTTTTATTTTAAAGCTAAATAAAAAGTTAAAATGTTAATAATATGGTTACAATATTAGGCAATAGTAAATTTTTCTATTTATGAGTACTGTAGATAACTGAAAAGGATATTTTAAAATTCGAATTAAAATATACACGAGTTTATACATAGTTATGCATGAAATATTAAAATAGTAACTAACGTTACCCTACAAACTGCCGTATATACCAATAAATATATACATAAATTTAACATACTTACTTGAACGAGGATCGTCAACACAGCTGTAATAAATATGACGTTGAAAATACCGCGATTGTCTCATGGACGTTGGATTTTAGAGGCGCTTGTCGTAATCATGATGCACACAGTTATTTAATTACCCATTATAATAGATATTGTGTTTATTTGATGTTACAAAATATAATTATCAATTTATATTGTATAAAATAATAATATAGGTCGGACCGCGATATACACGCGCGGAAACGACGAATTGTTTAATGACCGGACGTGGTCGCAAAACTGAACTCCAAAACGGCTTTTGCTGCCGACCGCGGCGTCACGCCACGCGGATACGTAATAAAATAAAAAAAAAAAACGTGCAATAAAAACCACCACCACCGAATCGTTGAACTCGGTGATGAGGAAGCAATAGGGGATGTGTGCACGTAAAAGCGCGTGCGATGGAATCGATTATTCCCATTTCCCATGACCTTGTTTTTAAAAACACGCGCCAGCATGTCCACACACATACATAAGTACACTGCAGTACACACTATATTTACGTATGCGTGTATGCATTATCCATCTGTCGAACGGTCGTAAGAATATGAAGCACTTTTTTGGATTCACGCGGCAGTCGTTGTATTATAATAATATTACATTAAATAGTGCCTACTGTCTATACATTATGAAACGCAGAAGAGTCATACGTACTTATGTTATATTATAATATTGTACGGAAAATGTAAGTATCTATAAACAATATTATATAGAGGTAGGTACTACACAGAATGTTATATAGGTACTGAGGTAATTAATTGACAAATAAAGGTATACCACGTCGTTTATGTAGTCATTTATTATATTATAGTTATTATTTTAAACTATATATTTATACGATGCAATATAAACAAAATACTGATTATACATATTATATTTTAATAATTTACGATTTTATTTATAAGTTTCGTGGTAAGGTGAGGCATGTCAAACTAGAAGAATATCACAGGTAAGTACAAAAAGACATTGATAAAACAATGGTTGATAAAAAAAAAAAAACACCATGATTTGTAAGACAAAATTGTTTTTAAGTGCAGTGAGCTGGTGGACACCTTCGATATGAATGACGTTATCATATGTAAAATCAGTGCGATTTAGCGTCTCCTAGATCGGGTTGGAGCCAGTCACACACGATGCCGGCCATCTCATCGGAATAATTGATTACGTATGCGTGTTGGTAGCCTTTGTCGCACAATACAGACTCTGCTTCCGGTACGCACTTGCTAATATCATCATAAAACGACGTCGGACACCAATCGTCGGTTTTGCCGAAGTACATGTGCAATCTTTTCGCGTTGTCCTTCAACGGCTGTAAAATCACGTCAATAATATTAAGTACTTACCTATATAATTTCACGAAATTAAGAACAGTGAAAATTCTTGTTGCTTACTATACGCAAGACGTATTACAATAATGATTAAAATACATTGTTTTAGAAACACGGGTATTCTAGAATTTCGATCTCCTGCAGGTTAATGTATAGGTGTAAGACTATTATCATTGGTTATTTTCATTAAGGAGCAGAGTATTTATTGAACAGTGTTGACTTTTAATAATTTATAATTTTTCCACACTACTAATAAATTAATGAACAAAAAATGCCATTAATATTAAATGTATGAAAAAGTGAAAATATATTATATATTTCTTATAAATCTATAGTAGCTATAATTAATTTTCAAGTAATTACACTGCATGGCTACATAAGAACTATAAGTTTCAATTAACAATTAACTAGTTATTTGTAAATTAGTAAATTGTTAGTTTTTATACATAGGTCCGTACGTATTTAAAGAAATTATTTAATTAATCTGTAAGTTCACATTACATTGTTATCATGGTTATTACTTATTTTAATAAAATATTACAATAAATTTATGATTTATATATAACATCATCATAAATTTAAATTATTGCTACTTACTAATAATAAAAATAATACAATTTGGAAACACAAATCAACATTGTAAAAAAATTAATATAATATTTTAATTAGAATTTAAAAAATATGTTTACTATATTATATGATTATATTCTTTTTTTATTATTATTTGAACTCCCACAAAAAAGGAAAACTACGTTAGTATTAGTTCTCATAAGTACTGATATATATTTATCTCTAAGATACAATTTTTTTAAACGGCGGCAAAGTATTATATACCTAAACATGGGACGTAAATCTTTTTGGCTTCCTATAATATGTAAAAAGAAGAATTATAAAATATTACTTAAGCTATTTTTTAGTAGGTTTGAATAAAATATAGACGACTGTTCAGATACTACTTATAATTTATATAAATAATTTTGTTCAACCGTAAACTAACAATCATTTCGGGTTTTCTATTCATCATCAACTATCTATTGTAATGATTCTTTTCAACACGTCAAAAAAAAAAAAAAAATGAAGATGGCGAAGTACACAATCGAGATTCTTCATAGAATTCTCAGAAATCCTATTAGGCACTTTTATTGTCTACGTTTTTAACTCGGTGTATTAATAAAGCATACAATTTTTTAAAGGTGAACAATTTTTAAATTATTGTTGAACAGTTAAATAAGCTTTTCTACATCTATGCGGTTTATGCAACAGTGTACATTTTATCTACGCGAGAAGAACATTAATAGATTTTAGATAATGTAATTCAATTTTTTATTCTATTTGTCAATTGATAGAAAATATTACTAAATTTAATTGAAAATTCAAAACGTTTAATTTGGTAAAACCTTTATTCTATATAATCTACCAGACACGTAAATAGGTAAATTTATTACAACAAACCTTGCAGTCCAAATCGTATACTTTATCCATTTCGTCTAATGCCATTGAAAATACGTTGCGTAACACCATTGGATGAACCAAATGCACTGCTGACCTTATAACATAGTCATCGACAAACCTTCCTTCCATGATTAATAGTGTTACATTTACCAAAAATTTTTTGATAAAAGCCGGAAATGAAATAAAAATCTAAATAAATTAAAATTTTTAAATTATTTTAAGCATTATAATAAATAGGTTTTTTTATCTTGAACAATTAAATATTTAAACTATTAATAGGTTATATTTTAAACTATAATATGCTATCGGTGTTTTAAAACTCGAGTAAAAAAATTAATTTTTTCCTATAGGTACCTATATTTCTAACAATATCATAAGATTAGTAGTTGAAAACGTAAACATAATTAATACTTATTGCCAATTCCTCATAATATATTATGTTACTTACCGATGTGTACCTTTATATTTATCATTAGTCATAACTTATAAGTTATAACCCATATACGTAGTCTTACTAACCCAATTAATTATTATACAATTTTTCTTTTTAATATTCATATAATTTAAAAACTTTGTTTATGTATAATGAAATATAACATGTAATAATATACTGGGTGATTCTTTTATTGAACACTCATTATTTCAAAATCTATTAATGTTTTTGAAAATATTTGTTTCACATAATTTCTAGGTTGAAATATAACAACATAATTTTTAAGAATTAATACTTTTTTAAGTTTTGTATTTTATTAAATACAACGTATATTTTTTAATTCATATTTATACCAGAATATTTTTTGAAGTAATACGATGTATACAAATTTAAATCCAAACAAGTATTTTTTGAGTAATAACTATTATAAATAGTTATAAGTATTTTAAGTTTACGTAAATGAATTTTGTTGGGGATACCCGTACCACACCACTCCAATAATCTTACAACACAAAATCTAATCGTCCAAATTTCGATTTTTAATGTAAAATATAAGTTTATTTTTTTTTAATATTATTTTATTTTGACGAAATTATTCAAGAATATATAAAGGAAACTATTTAAAATAATAACAACTATATTATGATTTTCAATAATGCAACGTATAATAAATTTATTACAGGTATTACCTATATGATAATAAACTTTAATTTATACTATAAAATTATAGTATTATAATATATATTAATATATTGTTTATTATTAAATATTAAGTCGTATTAAATAAAATAAATATAACAATATTGCATAATATTTTAACTTATAAAATGTAATTAATTTAATACTGTATAAGAAAAATGTTTATTTATCAGTTTTCAATGAGGAATAATCAACAAAATTAAATAATTATTGTTTATATATCAGAATTATTTTTAACTTTAACATCAAAAATTTTAAAGAAACGTCCCAGACTTAATAGTATAAAAATTGTTCTTATTATTTTTTTAAACACACACACACACACACACACACATATGTGTATATATTATTTAAAAACATTTTAATATTTTCAACAGTTATATGAACTTTTTAAGTAAATAAAAAATTTTGGGTTCTTGGTATTATACATTTTTTAATTTTCTGGAATTTTATCGAACCAGAAATGTACTTCAAAAATAAAAATTCTATTAAAGAATTAATTTATATCATGTGATGTTCAAGTTTTAAATGCCAGGTGGTATCTTAATGAAAATCATGCTATGTATGTCTATACTGTATATGAACGTGCTACGGACACCAAAACCGATTTTACCGGCTTCTTCTGACAAGGAATTTTTAAGCGCTATTCGAGGGGCTTAAAGTAATTCATGCGAACAATAATATTCTAGAATCCATATTAAAAATCCAAAACCAGTATTAAGCCAGATGTTTATGACCCTTTGATTGTAAACCTACTCAAATATTACAAAGTTATAATATCTATACTCTATATCAGGCATGTCAAACTCAAAGTATCAAGTTGGCCAAATAAAATGAATAGTTTTCGATGCGGTCCGCACATGAAAATTTAACAAAAATAAACAAATATTTTCTACAAATTTTTCAATTTTATTCTTTACGTTTACGAAACACAGCAGATACGACTAAATAAAAAAAGGTTATCTTATCAGAAGATAAGACAGAGTAATAATGTATACCAAACAAACCATTCTCTAAGAATCTAAGATAAGTTGTGACACGGCATTAATATTTTATTATTCATTTTTTCTTGTCCATTAATGTTGGTAGCCGCGGGCCATAAAAAAAAAAGTGCTGAGGGCCACATGCGGCCCGCGGGCCGAGTGTTTGACATGCCTGCTTTATATGAACGAGTTTATCAGACGTATATACTTTTATATAATAAGAAGTTAGTTTATAATGTAAATTGCAATTTTCATGTATTATTCTATGTTCGATACACTTTTCTGTCATGAAAAGTGATTATATAAATTATATAGAATAATATATAATATATATAATTATATATTATTATTATGATTATTGATTATATGTATATTAATAATCGAAACAACAAAAATCTATCGAAAGAATTAATTAATATGCCTACTAATTATTTTGAACCATCATTTTATAACGCATATTGATATGTTCGTACAAAATTAAAATCTGTAATGTATTCTACATCTTATTAATTCTACAATGTTAGGAATGCAATCAATATTATAGTTTATTAATATTATATTAACCAATAACTAATCCTAATAATTAAGAAATTCAATATTAATGTAATAGTGAATTTAATATAATGTATATATTAATTAATATATACATTATTTTATAATAATATTATACCAATATAATATACTATGAATAAAGTAAAAATTAAACGTTAAAAACACTACGCTAGTAAAATTTAATAATTGTTTTTATCATATCTTACCCAAGATAAAAATATTGTGATGGATAGAAAGTTGGATGTAGTAAATATAAGTTTACGCCCGTTTGGTGTCTCACGCATTTTTTGTAGAGTGGGAAACAGGAACACTAAACGTTTAACAGACAATCTCTGAGCCATTGCACTGTCCTTAAGCAATTCTGATATAATTTTCGAACCGATTGAATGACCCACTAAATATAGATCACAATTATCTGGCACATACTTCTCGATAAATCGTAATTTATGCTCTACTTGTCCCTTTAGCGTGTATAGATCAGGATACTTTTTAGGGTCAGGGATTGTAAGTCCCAAATTCGAAGGCGGAACTTCATGACCTAAAATTATAAATGTTTAAATATTATAGCTCACTTGGATAAAAATATTAATTTTCATAGTTATTAAAATTCTATCACTGGCCCTCTAAGATTTTTAATACAATTAGTGCCGTGATTTATTACATAGTTGACTAAAATTCAACTTCCCACTGCTTGAAATTCCATACATTTTTTCCATAGGTCACCCCATCCTAATTAATTTACATTTATTATAAACTAAAACAAATTTTTTAATGTAAAAATAAATGTTAAAAAAATTATTAATATTTATTAAAATTAAATATACTAGTGAACACAAGTTGGATTATAGAGCTAATAAAGAAAATAAAAAAACATGCAGTATAATTAACTTTTTGAAGTGTTTAACTGAATACATAAATGAATAAATTATAATTATAAAAATTATAAAACTAAAATGCTCCTAAGTTTATGCTAATTGCAAACTAATAATTAATTAAAAACTTAAGAAAACTACCATAATAATAATAATAGTTAATGAATTAATAAACAAATCTACATGAGTAATTTGGACAGATTTCCACGTGATAACTTAATTATGAAATAGGTTTTACTGAAGATAATGAAGTTAATATTATACATTTTTTAAATAGAACTTGCAAATCAGGAAATTAATAATAATTTGATGTGTTTATGATAAAATTTAATAAATAAAGATTTTTTAATAAATATTTTAATAGATTGCTTCAAATTAAAAATTATACATTTAATAACAATTTATACTTATATTGTATAATATAATAACTATGAAAAGGCTATAACATGAATTTCGCTCAATGACAATAAAGTAACAGATGTTATTTTTATAATGCACTAATTATATGTTTACTAATTGTATGTTTTTACATTAAAATAATATGATACGCAGATAATTTAATCAAAAAAATCTAATAAAAAGTTTAATAAAAAAGAATATTTTGTTAAATTATTTTATTTAAATATAAGTAAAAAATAATAGTTAATTATAGTTAGTATTTATAAACTAAACATTTCACAAAAAATTATTTTAATTTATAATAATATTATGCTACTATGATAGCCTAAGAAGGAAATATATTGATTACCTAATGAACTTTTTTGACTAGATTGAATTTTTATTAACAATAGTTGTGTTATCTTAAAAGTTAATCATTGAACTTTGGATAACATTAATTTATAAAGCACTCGTACGTACATAAAGTTTATTAAAATGTATTATTTGTTTAACATTTAACAATGTAATAAAAGAAGTGAAAATATAAGCAAATATAAGTATAATTAAATATTTTTCACGTAATATCATATGCAGCTTTGTTCAATGGTGAAAATACAATATACATAATATTATGTTCAGTTGTAAACATATTTAATTATTTTAAAAGTCATTGTGCTACAAAAATTCATGTTATTCAACTATTATTATTTATTTTTATCGTATATTGTATATCTACTTATTGTCGTATATAACACATGGAAGTTTATAAACTATTCAAATTAGTGTTTTTTATTTATTTACTTTATAGCGTATAAAATATTAAACAAATTATGAAATAAAAAAAATAAAACACAATCTAGGTACCTATTACCTACTTCATAAACTAATTAAAGAGCAATATAAATTTTAAACCATATATACCGAAACTAAAAACATGCATACACATTATACATAAACGATAATAAAATATACTGTAAGTATAAACTGATACTGTATATGTGTGTGTATAATACATTCAAAAATACAGTAAAGTAAAACGTGTATTTGTTTTAGTAAAATTGATTAATACTTTTTAGTTAATTATACAAGATTTATAAATGAATGAAAATGTAAAGATTTACCATGCAATTCTAAAAAAATAAGTGTTTCAATATACCTATTTAAAATTTAAATATTTATAGTCCTTAAAATTTTAAAATAACTAGTGTAAATATAAGTCCGTTTTAAGCGCTCTGTTGATAAAAAACTTTTTTGAAAAACTGCATTTATGTTTTTGATACATTTCAACTGTAGTTGAAACAGTTTATAAACTACAAATACCTATTTCACAAAACTCCAAATTGTTTTCATTCAGCTAAGAATAAATTAAATCTTTATCAATAATAATCTTAGAATTAATTATTATTTGATGAATATCAATATGTTTAAAAGAAACCACAATTAGGCACCAATTTTAAAGTTTTCTTATTCGTTAATTCGAAGTTAAAAATTATAAATATTTCAGGGGTATACTTGAATAGATGACTTACGTTAAAATGATTATAATAATAATTTAGTTATATTATAATAGTTAATATACACTGTTTTACTAAATAATTTAATTGCGAAAATACCAAGCACCTTGTTGAAAATTAAAAAAAACGTAAAATAATAAAAAATTAAATTTGTACCTGCATGCGATAATACCCAGACAGGAACATTGAGGACACGATAGACTTCCTGCAAAAATTTTTCATAGAACTCTGTTACTCCTGGGTTGCCGCACACGCATAGTACTACTCGTTTTAATTCATGTTTGTTGTCCTCGTCGATCGGCTGGCCCCAACAAAGCACTCGAGTAGCCACGCCGTTAACATCTACCCATAGGTCTGTCGCTTTCATTCTACAGCCGCTGTCATCATCCGCAGTTGTCGACCTCATCTTTGCAACTGTGGCTGCCGATCCTCCTGCGGCCGCTGCAGTCATCTATGACGAAATGATAGTGCAATTTTATTTTATATGATAGTCAATAGGCTAATACATGCACACATACACACTAACAGACATTTATAAAACACCTATTGTATATGTATATGTATTCGTATATATATATAAATATATATTTTTTTATAACGGAACAATCATTTTCTCAAAAAATCTATGTTAAAAGAATATTTTTTAAATTTTTTTTTTTTTCGTGATTATTGAAACTTACATTCTTGTAGTAAAATATTTTTCTGAAAATTTTTATTCATGATGTATCTATATTGAATCAGTAGATATCTACTTAATTAACTTAAAGTATTTAAAGTTTAGAATAGCAGAATATATAAAGGCGTACACAGCTAACATTTTTTAAATTACGACTCTAGTAAATACCATTCATCTACATTTTTAATTAGACGAGAGTAAATATTAAACAGTAGTTTTTATTGGTTACATTTTTTAGAATGTAAACAAAAATATGGTTAAAAAAAAATAAGCCATGTGCATCATAATTAGAAGGAGGATTTAAATGCACAAAAAAACCTCAAATATGCACTTAAAATTCAATCAAAAATATTTTATTTAAAATTATGTTAAAATTAAATATTTGTTTATGTATTTATTAATTAAATATTAAAAATAGCATTTTGTTGTCTTCACTAAAAGTTCTTTAAGTTTCTTTATCTTCAATCTATAAAATATTGAATAAAAATTGGCATGATTTACATATAATTTTACACGTAACGAACGCACGAATGCACGTTTACTGACTGATTGGGGCGTATGTGGAACAATTGAACTAGATTCATATAACATGAATTCATATATATATTATATTTTTTTTTTATTAGTTTCAAGTATTTAACTATTATGGCTCAAAAATTATAAGAAATATATATTATATAATACAATTTATTTTTGTGTTGGATATGGTGTATCTCAACTTTGGCGATAACGTCCGGTCGTAATTTAGTCGATATTGTGTGGGGTTAAAAATGTAAAAATATAAGACGTAAAATATACATGATGAAAATAAAAATATGCATTAAAATGTGCAAAATAAGGTAAAAACGTTGAAATCTGTAAAATATGCAAAATCAAATTAGTGTTATTTTAATAAGAATGAATCTAAATCTGGAACAATTATCATTAGATTTCAAAAAGCTCATATATAAATATATATATATATATACATGTATTTGCACATAAATCTGTTATCTATTTATAACTAATATTTTTAATGTTAATTTTTAATTTATGTTGAATGTTGATAGAATTTTTATATCTTGGCAAAATGCTTGAAATTATTAATACAAGATTTCTTAAAAACTATAACCACAGAAATACAACGTCAAATAATAAAAAAATTAAAATCGATATGTATATTAAACCCTCAAAGACGATTTCCTCTATAATTTTCGAAATAGATGTATTTAAGATCTAAGATTAAGATACGTAATTTAAAAACTATAAAAACGATTTTACACGAAAGCGTTTTATCTATGTTACACGTAGGTCTGATAAAGAAAACAAATATTAGGTATAAAATGTATTATTTTGAACGTTAAAATTATTATGCATTAGGAAGACGGAGACAGGTAGATAACACAAGCGGATGTAACGTCCTTTTAAAAGATGAAATAACCATTTGAAAAAAATAATTAAACACCTGGAGAGAAATAATAATTGCATTATTATAGGTAATCCCCAACTGATATATTTACATAGAAAAAATTTCAAAAACTATCACTGTTATGATCATCACGACGATGTAACAGTATAAAAATATTGTCAGCGGGGAATCAGGTTAAATAATGTGAATTGTGAATTGCGATTAATAAACATTATTAAGCGTTAATAAGTGTCGCTACACGCATAAAAATACCTTACGACTCACGTTAAACATAACTTGAAGTTACTATAGCATATCACATGTAGGTAACCTAACCTTAGTACCTATACTACCTTCATATCTTGTATCATCTATAAGTTGAATATTTTCAGAATATACCTACACAAGAATGGCCGAACGATGACATGTTAGAATTTAATAATATGATCTAAATACTTATAATGGTATAGAAATAATGAAAGATCGAAACATAAAAAATAGCGATTTTATATTTTTCAAATAGGTGCATTATACAAACATTACAAACGCGTAAAATCGGCGTTTCACGCGGCGAAGACACTGCAACACACAGCACGCCGGCAAACGATCATCAGCTGTTTACTCGAGAACGTGATCTCTCGCCATTACAACACACGATTGGAATTTGGATCAGCGCCGGACATTCACAACATTCTGAATCCTTATCACGCATACGCTTGGGATTCTTAATATAAAAACATAGTTTCTTATCAACGATTTCTATACCCACCGGCCACCGGCTACCAGACCAGAGTAGAGTCGTAAATAATGATGCGTACACAACATATTCAATATTCGTATTTTTTTAATAATAAATACATAATACATAGCATTTATGTATACTACACGTAGTATAAGATCACATTACGATCGGTATGTCCACTGGTTATTTGTAAGTAAACAATTGTTATGTTTATCATTACAAAATTACAGTTAACATAATATAATGATAATAATCCACAACAAGTAGTTTAAAATTCTTCAATATATCCTCAATAAGCTACTAAGTATAAGTCAGTTTTATTGACCCGTGATATTTGTAAGGAAATTATGATGTAATACAGGTACTTCATAAGATTATTTTCTTAGGCCGTGATTTAAGTCCTGGCGCATACGTGAGAAGAAAAGCTTGGGACGTTGATAATCGTCCCGGCGAAGATCTTATCGACTACCACGCGCTGTTATCTCTTATCACACGAAAAGAAAATCTACGCTTATCATTTTAATTCAGCGATAAGAGATATCATACCCAACAACCGGTGCGCACCGTTTATGTAACGGCCGACACGTCGACTATCGTGGACGTAAAAATTACGTTTTGTTCATCATATTATTTTAACAATATTGTCGATTCAACAATAGATTGGTCGTAAACGGTACTCACGCCTTGATGGTAATAATGGTGGTGGTCCGTTCCGATTCCGTCGTGTCTTATCGATAATCGGCAGACGGAAACGATGTGCGCGTTACGGTACCAACTGGCAACGGAAAGACGTGGATAGAGTGAGATGGCGGCGACACGAATACACGATACAATACTGCCATTCGGCCGTGGTCGTTGGTTGCCGGCGACGGCGTTTTCGCGCTCGCTGTGAACTCGTCATCGGTTCTTGCCTTTCACTACGAGTGCGACGCTTCGTTTCAGTGCGACCTCGACACCCGTGCTAAATTATTGCGTAATATTTTTATTAGTTGTTATGATTACAATATTAATATTTAGTATTTACGCGACAACGTAAATTTGCTGACCAACCTATCTACTTTCACAGTTTCGCGACTCATAATAACCGGACGACTGTTATTATTTTTCATTACGCAATGGCAATAGACGTGGTAATAATTATTGCATAGGTATAACGCGTTTGCTATATTTTACAATATATGTAATAAACTAATAAACGAATATGCGTTGCTATAGCCTATGTGGTTCCACGTAGAATTTATACATAAATATAATTTTGAAATTGAAATTACTGTCGTTGCAGTGTTAACACAAATTTTATAAGATTCAGGTTGCAACAACAAACAAAATGTCGAGTGTGAGGATTACTCATCGCATTAAGCATTATAATATTTATTAATTATTATTAACATATTATATACTAGGTACCTACCTATGTTATTTTAGTTATAACCTATAGCCTATAGGACATAGGTAAACACAATATTGAATACAAAAATTAACTATTATTCATTTACTATCGTGTTTTAACTAAATATTTAAAATTATTCTTGTACCTAATAAAAACGAATAAAAATGTCGAGTTATGTTTATTATTATGTACCTACTACCTAGTACTTATACCAATAAATTACCAACTGTACAAAACATTAATAACTAAATATATCCAAGTGACCAAGTATAAAGTATGGGTTTCAGAAATTATATCGACTTAACATCTAATGTTTCAATACCTAATTATTTAATTGCGACATCTATTTGAGATGTTTTAATATTATCTGAATTGAAACATGCATTTCTAGAACATTGTATGAATAAATTACTCAAATTGTTTAATTTAATACAATTTCGTAAAATTTGTATAGGGACAAAAATAATAAAAATTTTGCAAAACAATAGATTTTCAAAATATGGTTGGTATACTGATATTGATATATTTTTTCAATTTATATTTAAATGCACGAAAATTATTTAAAAAATTTGAATTAACTAAAATAAACTAATATGGAAGTAGTTGTGTATAGTAGCAGTTTTTACACATGTATGTAGGTTACTTTAGAACTTAGATAAACCATTATATATTTTATGATAAACATAAATTATTATTTATTTTAGGTATACTAAATAATTAAATAATCCAAAACCTCTAGATATATATCATTTAAAATAATAAATAAGATATACTTTTACTTATTTCGTTACTAAAATGCATTTTGAATTGTTCATATAATATTATACTTCTTAAGAAAATAGATATGTTCAATAATATCGTATTGATATTGTTAATAATATTTATTTTAATAATAATTAAAAAAAAATAAATATTATTAGTTAAACTTTATATACCTACATAAAGCTAAAGTTAACTACATAATAACTGAATAATAATAGTCAGTAGAATATTTATTTTATACTTACTATATACAACTATTGCATGGTTACAATAATTAAATATTGCAAATTCAATCACTTAAAAATAGGCTTATAAAATTATATCATTAAAATTCTTATGTATTCTGCTTAACTTATCACAGAAATGTTTCATCATATTTATCATGGTATTTTATTACGAGAGGGAGAGCTAACAGGTACAAATAAATTATAATTTAATTTTATGATTTGAATAAAATTATATTAATCTATAATGATTATATGTATAGGTAAATATACCAATAAATTATTATCTATTTTTGATTTGTTATTTAATGTGCGTGTATGACTATTTCAATATATTTGTTGATGGAGAAACTTAACTAAAATTATTAAACTTAATTAAATATATTTTCGTATGAATATACTATAATATGTAATTATTGTAGGTACCATGACGATGATGCGATATCCGTGCGTGCATCAATATGTCAGCATTGGACTCACTTTGTTTTCTCTCTGATTTAACACAACATTATAAATTTATGTTCAGAAGAACTAATTTTGTGTTAGTGTAGAATTTATATTAGAGTGAATTATCAGTTAATTAATTTTTTTTTTTTTTATTGTTAAAAAATATTTTTATTATACAATCTATAAAGCAGTTTACAATAAGTATAAGTTATATAATTTATTATATGGTCGTTGAAAATGTCTGGAGTGAAGAGGCAACTTATTGGTGATATTTCATCAAGTTAAAACCTAAAGGTAAAATTTTTATCTAGTTCACCTTATATAGGCTTTTATTGCTATTTCAATTTTAAAACCAATTAATATCGTTTTAAAATAATAATATATTTAATATTCATTCAGCGAAAGAATACGTCTCGATTTTAGCATGGTGTCATTGCAAGGGCGGTATACGTAGAATCTCTGCAGTGTGCTCTTTCTTGATAGAGTATAGCAAAAATCAAGACGGGTCTCTCTATATCATACTATATACACTATGATAAGGTATTATGTGTGAGAACCGACTTTTGTCGGACTGAGACGTGTTCTTTTGCTGGATGAATATTAAATATACGTATTATTATTTTAAAACGATATTAATTGGTTTTAAAATGTAAATATCAATAAAAGTACTTGTGTTTCCCTTGTTTATTACATCCCTATCTTTTTATTTTAATATTAAAGCTAACTTCATAAAATCGGTTCCTCTAAACTCGAATTGCTACAATGTTGTGCTAGTATAAAGATAAGAAACAAAATATAATGCCATTGATTCTTGATTTCCTCTTAAATTTATATTAAAAAACAAAAAATACACTTATTATAATAAATCATCATGCACGTAATTTAAGGAATTACAACAACTATTATATCAATAAATAGTAATTTAATTGTTTATTTTTTATTTAAAATCATATTGTGTACAGCGTTTTAAACAATAAAAATTATTAACTAATTAGTTATAAACATAGTTATAGGCACATACTACATAGATACCCCTAAGGCTCTAAACATGTATTTAATCAGTATTATTTTTTTAAATAAACCCTAAAAAGTTTAAGTTTTTACAACAAATATTTTAACTATTTAAATTATTAACTCAATTAAAACATTAACATTTTAACTTGGTTAATAATTTAAAAAAATTTAAAAAGCTTAAAACTTTGTAAGTATTTAACAACCTTTAAAATTATAATACAGTAAACATTATTTAAATCATTAAAAATAATTTAAAATAAACTGTTTAACTATACGCCTTATACCTACCTACTATATTAATTTACTATAATAATTATTTTTATTCTCTAATTACTTAAGTTAAGAATTTTAATATGTATGTATATCCTAGTATACTTACTGCTAACCAAAGCATTTACTAACTTAGAAAGGGTTATTGCGTATCAACCATTAAAAAATAATTTATTTAGATTTAAAGTTTAAAGTGGATTTAAATGTTTGATAAATCGTTTGTTTGAAATGAATTAATCATTTAAGCTCTGGACAAGTATCACTAAATGCTCCCTCATTTCCAAAATAGGGTAATATTACTAATATACATATTATGGGCAGTGCTAATTTTATTCGTAGTTATGTTGGTGCCTATAGTTAATACATGTAGATGCGTAGTAATAGTAGTAGTAGTATTGTACATTTGTATGTCATGTGCTTAATAAAATCAATATAAATGGTGATTTATTAATTATAATAGGTATACCATTTATTTAAGGTTGTAACAATTATAAAGTACGTGTAAATATATGTACGTAATATTATGTTACTTAAGCATAAAAATAATGCAAGACAAATAGCTACTAGGTATATATATGTATTTTTTCGATATAATTATAATTATAGTTATATATTATACTATATATTTGTGTATATAAAATGTATAGTTCCTAAAATATCATAAATTATATATAATATTATAATATAATATAATTATATATTATAATTATAATTATTATATTAATATTTTTTTTTTATTTTTTTATTTTTATTATTATAATTATTATTTTATTTTATTATTATTATTATAATTTTATTATATTATTATTATATATTATATTATTATATCAATTATAAATTATTATTATTATTATATTATTATTATATACGTTACAACTAATTATATTCTTATTTGTATTTATTTCATCATTTTTTAGGTCTTTAGCTAAATTTTACTAAAAAATGGTAAACAACTGGGTATCCCTATGTTATATATTAGGTATCGAGTGTTTTACTGTAATAAATGTGTTAAATTTGAATTTAATGATATATCATTATGAATAGTAAAACTTTGAGCAGAAATGATTTGTCTGCCTATATTACTAACTATATTTATATTTTTTGAGAATGTAACTATTGAAGTAATTTATTTTGCCATTAGTATCACGATAGGTTGATTTAATTTTTTCTAAAAATATTGCATTTATTATTTTAATAATATATATAATATGTATGTTAATACCATATATTATATTATTGTTATTAATTTAGAAGTTATAATAATAGCTTACTGTAAATATCACGAAAAAATATGAATAAACTCATAGTATAAATGTATTATAATATTTCAAAACTAATCAACACACATTTTGAATATAGTATAATTCATAATATACGTAAACATTTTAAGTCTTTACAAATAATGATTTTAAATTTAAACAAATTAATTAGTATCGTTACATTCATCATTAAAATGATAATTTCATCCAAATTTGAACTTCAATTATCTATGAAAAAAATTGTTAGAATAGTTCAATAGTATATTATTTAAATATTTTATTTAAAGTAGATACGCATAACTACTTAAAAAGAAACACATTTTATTCCATTTTTTAAATTAAGTTAAAAAAATAATTGCAAATTTCTCATTCTTACAAGTAGCTTAAAACGTGTCAAAATAAAAAGCGTTTCATAAAGTGCAGTGCAATTTTTGAAATGCGTAAGATTTTTTCATTTGAAGGTGGTCAACCATATTTTAATTATTTTTGTCATCTATATCACTCTGATTAGAAGATA